ATTAGTATAGATTTTTAAGAGAAGTATCTTTTATCAACTGATTTTTTGTAATTAGTAAAATTCTTCACCTCTCTCAAATAATTATGTAATTTATTAGTATAACACTAAATCATAAGAAGTATCATAATGTGGCATTCGGATAATGCCAACTAGTAATTTCCAAACTTGTATTCAGATCTAAATAAAAATATAAAATAAGACAATAATTTCAATAATAATGTAATGCGCAAATTTACTGTAACTTACCTGGAAACTCATTTGTTAAATGTGCAGTTGATATAAATTCATTATTCCATGGCCATCTTGTAGGTGAATTTATAATTTCAATATTATTTTTCTTTCTATTTGCATCCTCAAATTGATTATCATTTATTCCAACAAGATACCATCCTCTTGATATTTCATATAATTCATTGCCATCGGCATATTTGATGGATCATTATTCCAACATTGTTTCATTAATTCTTCGTAACATTTAGGTATAAACACATCTCTATCTGTTTGTGGGCGCTCTCCTTTGACAATGGCTAATGGCTAAATATAAGTAGGTATTGTCTTGAATTTCATTGCTACTTCTTCATATGCAATAACCTACATAATAATTCCAAAGCTATATATATCTGAAGCTGATATCTTTTAAAAATCTCTGGTGCGATGTTGCATGCTACATAATGCTGCATAATGCGATGCAAGTTGCCCAAAATTTAAAAATGCACATAGAAGTTATTATGTAATTTTGATCTATGTTATTTTCATTAACAATCACTTATAGACACTTGTTCCTATCAAAGTAAAATCCAATAAAAATTTATCTACCAGGTCAGTTTTCACTATAAATCTAATAGTTTATATTTTCAAATCCGGCAACCTCTCAGTAATAATACAAAATCTGCTCACTGCATATAGGTTTTGAGAGGTCCACAGTATACTTTACAGAATTACATAATGCATCATGCAACATAATGCTGCATTATGTGATGCAAAGCCAAAAAAAAACTTGCATTCGCGCATCTCTAAGTGCGATATATGGTAAAACTCCAAATACACCAGAGCTTACAGAATTTGTAGTATCCTTATATGACAATCCAAGATCTGAAATATAAATAGAATTATTATAGCCAACTAAAATATTTCCCGAGTGAAAATCACGATGAACAAGACCAGCAGAATGTACTGTTTTTAATCCGTTAGCAGCCTCCATTAGAATTCGTAATTTTTCAAACCAATCAATATTCCCAAAGTTCTGTTCCAAATATTTCCGAAGATCACATTTACATAACTCCATAATGATCAAATAAGAATTGGTATTAGGATCTTTACTTAAACCATACCATTTAAGAACGTAAGTCGTTTCCACAGGAGATCGCGGATATTAAATGTGCAGTTGGCTATATAATTTTATAGTATGTTATTTATAAGATATATGCAATATATATATATATATATATTAATTAATGAGCGACCACATACATCTTTTAAATTTTCGATATTTTTAAAAGCTGCTCTATATTCTTCTAGTCTAATAATTTTGCCACACAACAAATCTAGAGGGCCATCTAACCAAACAGCCGAATAAACAGTACAGCATCCACCTTTTCAAATAAACTTAAAATCTTTGAATCGATCATAAGGAATCCATTCAACATAATCAACCGCATTTTTGGCATTTAATTGATAATTTTTAATTAATTCATCAATTTCATTATCTCCACTTGTCCAGTTTTTAAAATTATTTTGAAAATATTATTTTCCGCATGTATACACCAACTCCATCCTGAACGTTGCTTACCACAATACATACATATCGGTAATAGGATATGAACCATACAAATGGACTTATAAGACCGAGTAAAATTTTTTCAAAAAACCCCAAAGGTCATTTCATTTTCAAATCCTTGTATTAAAAAGGTTTTTCCGAAAATATATCATAACCATCTGCAGAAAAATAATACATAATATAGGCAATAAAAAATAAATAAATAAGTGTCTATAAAGAAATTCCATAAAGTTTACTACAGTATTGTATATGTGTTTTTAGCATGTAAATTCAAAATAAAGTTTCATAGCAACGCATACATCGAATCATGGAATCTAACTTATTGAATCTTATAAATACAACCCGAATACGTACGATAAAAAAGTTTTTTGGGCATGCTCAGAACGATCAGATAGCGCATATAAGATAAATAAGATATGAAAATCCTTTCTGTTTTAGTCTAAAAGGAAATGTGGCGGATCACGAGTAAGATTGCAACCAATAAATAAGATGCCTAACGCTAATCATAAACTTTATTAGAAATGATCTGTCGACAAAGAAAGACTAGAGGGTTAAATTACTGAAGATTAATAATTTGTTTTGACCAAATTGTAAGGTTTTCTAATTGGCTTCTTTTTCAATATTACTGAACTCGGCTTAAACAGACAAAATCGATTAATGGATCATACAATTATAAATATTCACAAAATTTGAATAGCTTATTTAAAATGCGCTGACTAAAACGATTTTATGTTTACAAATTAATACGAATAAATGAAAATTAAAATACTGATATAAATATTCGCAAATTTGAATAGTTTACTGATTAATAAGGGTTCATATTAACTCTGAATAGATTAATGCGAAATTAAATAACAGTATCATAGAGATTCTAAAATTAAGCTTTAATAATCTATTTCAGCCAAAATAATGATATTTTGAAATAGGCTAATTCTGAAACACTTAATAGTAAAGATTCGTGAACTTGAATATTTTTATTTTAAAAAATTAGTTAATAAACAATCTTTATACGTACTGTATTGTACGTACCCTGTACCAAACTTAAAATGAGTATACATATATTTCGTACTGTACGTTAGAAAAAGTTGTACTGTACCTTTTTTTTTTATTGTTTATACAGTACC